ATAAGATTTTTAAAAATTTAAAAATTTTAAAAAAGATGCTTGCTGCCATACTCGATGACCTCAGTTCAATCCCTGGTACCTATCTTGTGGAAGGAGAGAATTGATTCCTGCAAGTTGTCCTCTGACATCCACAAGCAAGCTATGGCACATGTAAGACACACACATACACACACACACACACACACACACACACACACACACACGGACCAGGTGTGGTGGCGCATACCTTTAATCCCAGCACTCGGGAGGCAGAGGCAGGCGGATCTCTGTGAGTTCAAGGCCAGCCTGGCCTACATAGTGAGTTCCAGGACAGCTGGGGCTACAGAGAGACCCTGTCTCAAAAAGACCAAACACACACACGCACACACACACACACACACACACATATGCATGCTCGCGAAAATAAATGTAATAAAAACTGTTTAAAAAGAACACGATGAGCTCAATTGAAGCATGAAGGGCTTAAGAGCTCCACAAAGCCACTGAAAACAGAAGTATTTTCCTCACAGTGCTCCCAAAGCTGCTTCTAACAAGCGGGAGAGGGGTTCCTGGCCAAGTGGGAGGCCATTAGGGGACTCCTCGGAGGCCTCTTCCACTCCAAAGATTACAAGAGGCCCAAATTCTCTAAGATCCTGAGAGTCAGGCATCTGCGCTTTCCCAGGTCAGTCTCTGACACACCCACACTCCTATCTTACTTGTAGAACCCACTCAGTTTGCGCCTCTCCCCACCCTAGACCCACCTCTGACCTAACTCTTCCTCATCCCTCCAGCCACTTTGTGTTTCACTATTCACAGGACATGTTGAACTCCTTCCTGCCTCAGGGCCTTTGCACCTGCTGCTCTCTGTCTGGACACCCCAGCTGCCTCAAGTTTGAATCCAAATGCCAACTCTTCTGAAATCTTTCAGAATCACATCCCTCTCCAGCCATGTAGCACAGAGTGAGAGGCAAGCTGGAGCCAGCTGCTCAGGTTCAAACCTCACTTCACTTTCCTGCCTCGGTTTCCTCAGGCCTGGCCCAAGAACATAGTACATGGCTCGTGGGGTCATTGGGATGATGCAAGTCATCTACCTGTGTGAAGGGCTTTGGGGCACACCGCATCTGCAGCAGCTCTTGGGCGGGACCACTTCTTGTCCACGTGTAAACCTGCTTCAAAACTCAGCATGAGGATCAGAGGACAACCCAGGCCAAGCAGAGCTGTCTGAGACAGGCCTGCCTCCTGTTCCGCTGACTCTAATGCCTGGAACCCTGCCTGCACACAGTAGGTTGCTCGGTGGTTGTTTTTGACTTAGCACCTAGAACCCTGCCTGCACACAGTAGGTACTCAATAGTTGCTGCTGCCTCTTGGTGCCTGGAATCCTCCCCACATACAGTAGATGTTCAATGGTTGCTGCTAAGCCTTGGTTCCTAGAGCCCTGTCTACATACAATAAGGTACATAATGATTGCTTGTGGCTGAGGAAATACATAGGAAATAAGTAATTACACCTCCCCTGCTCTGTGGTCCTGGGCAGCCAGGAGTGTGCACCTCAGAATACACCAGCCACATCTGCCCAACCAAGTACAGGAAGTCAGGTTCCCCTCGGAAGTGGCTGCTGGACCGGTGACCTTGCCCCTGTGCCAGTGGAATTCCTCACTCCAGCTGGGGTGGTGAAGAGATGATGCTGCATTGGCCAGTCCATTCTTGGTGTTTGCCCCAACAGGTTTCTGCCCAGAGCACAGAGCAGGTGTGGGCTCAGGAGGCAGCTGGCTCCCAGCCTGGGCTCTGCCAGCTGCCTGTTGGGGGCCTGCCCACCAGATGCATAATAGATGAGGTGGCCCAGTAGGCTGTGCCTGTTGGCATTTCAGAGCTGCTAACGAAGCCAGCCCCGTGCCTCCTGCAGCAGGGCCAGACCTCCAGCTGAGTGATGGCTGAGAGGAGGACAGGGTACTCCACTCAAGCCTACCCCTCAGCCTGCAGAAATTGGGAAGGACAAGCGCTAGGCTTCAGGCTGATAACACTAGCAGGCTCTGTTCACCAATCACTGACTGCCCACCCAGGACCAGCCAGTTCTCCTCTGTGGCTCAGTTTACTCATCTGTAAAATGGGGACAGGAGTCTATTCTGGAACGAAGTCATCACAGCAAAGCACCTAGCACAGCACCTGGCCACAATGTCAAGAGTAGATATGTCTTGGTGGCAGGTTGGCCCTCCCAGGAGGACACTCAGCAGTGACTCCCATTGGAGGTTATTTGGGGCCCACTTCCCCTCCCCACACAATCAAGACTCCCATTTCCCAAGATCGCTCTTTCCAGGAAGGGAGAGAGCTGGATTCAGATCCAGCCCTCACCAGCTTTGTGACCTTGACCCAGAGCCTTCAGCCTCCATTGTGGCCTGTGATGTGGAGACCAACTCGCAGGCCAGACATCATGACCAAATGAGGCCGCTGCAGAAAAACAGCTGGTACCCTGTCATCTGGGTTCCTTCTCCCAGGCTCCCAGGCCAAGTCAATTCTGCTCTTCCAACAGGTCTTCCCAGAATCCTCTTCCCTGCACAAGTCCACCAGCCACCCCTATTCCTTTTCTCCTTCTGTCCCATCTGGACCCACCTTAAATGCCTAGCCTCGGCTCTAGCACTGCTGGGTCCTTATGGCTGCAGAAATAGTCACTCAAGGCCCCTCCCACATTCCTCCCACATACACATACTGGGCCTCTTGCTTATTGGGGTGGGGAGTTCAGATTCAATCAACAGGCCTGCGATTCCTATGATCCCAGCTAGAACCTCTTAACCCTTTTATACAGAAAGGAAATCACATTGCCTCCAGGATGCCCTTCTGGCTTTTTGTTAGCATTTCACATGGTCCACTGTCTGGGATATATTCCACTCAATTTCATGATACTCAGAAGGCACTTTGCTGGGTACATGTAGCTCTGTGGGGGACAGGACCCTGCTGACCTGGATATATGAAGTCAAGCACAACGAAGGGCAAAACGCGCTGCTCAGAGGAGTGCAGAGCCTGCCTCAAGTTTCAGAGTCACATGGACACATTCAACACCCAGGAAAAGTCCGACTCAACAAACACGTGTTGAGCATCAAGCAGGGCTCTGAGAGGGGACTGACTTACCCAAGGTTCCCCCATCTAGAACATGGTGGAGGCAGATTCCACCCACACCTGTCAGCCTCCCCAATCCACGCTTTCTGCTACTTGGAGAACAGTCAGTAATGTGTGCGTGATAAACAGGGGGGCGTTCTAGGGAGAGGAAGGCATGATGTGAGATCAAGGATCAGGAATCAGGAAAGAACCCCCCCCCCCAGCAGCAGGAAGATGGTTGGATGAAGAGGTGTGTGTGGATGACGGAGGAAGGTGAGAAAAGCATGGTCATAGTTCTGACCAGGGCTGGGTTCCTGCTGACCAGAGATACAGGCCACATGAGAAGTGAGCCCCTGCTGGGGAGAGAGGCTGAGCCTGGTCCAGAGGACTACCAACTCATGGAGATGCCAGGCAGGCACACACTGGGTCAGGGTTGGGAGGATGCTCTTGGCCTTAGCACCTTGGACAGCAGCCTCAGCAAGGAGGGGGACAGGACAAGGCATTGTGGGTAACAGGTGCATCCTGGGGTTCCAGATCCTTCCTTCCAAAGAAGGCCAAAGTCACAGAGCTGGTCAGTTACTATCATCCATAGGCCTGTCTCTGACTCTTGGTTCAGAGCTCCCTTCTGGGTTGGCCTTCCTATTTCCAAGTGCATACACCCCCACCCCCACTAGCTCCTCTCTATGGCCTGGAGACCCCTTGCCAAGAACTGGATGCAGGTGTGGGTTCAGCAGGCAGTTGCTGGCACTTGGCCTGAGCTCTTCACCAAGTCAGGGTTCAGATCCCAACTCTGTGTGACCTTGGGCGATTCACAAAGAATCTCATGTTCTTATCTGTAATTAGAGATAACAGTCCCTAAGTTGGAGGTATGGTTAAAATAACATATCAAGTGCCTAAAAGTCACAGCAGGTGCCTAAAAAGTGATAGTTGTTGAGGATATTGTGATTAAAGCCTTGCATGAGAGTACATCCTCTTCACCCTTGTCTACATCTCCCTCACTGGGCATAGCATGGCAGTTTGACTTAGCATAGCATCAAGGACAAGGAAGAGTCACTGGCTCCAGGCTGCTCAGCAAGCAATAAAAGGAAATGAGAAGGTGGCCCTGGAGCATCCTGGACATCCTTGTGCCTCCTGTGGGGCTTCCCAGGGCCCTGGGGCCCACTGGTACCAGTCAGAAATCCCACAACAGCTGGGGCACTGTGGGGCATGCAGACCCCAAGAAGCCCTCAGCAGGAGGCAGGAAGCTAGAGTTGGGGCTGAAGCCACAGGGGAGAGGGGGCTCCTTCTGGAGGTGAGGCAGTCCCAGGAACAGCTGGCAGGGCCATGTGATGTTGGTGCCTGGGAAGCAGGGAGGCACCTGCCTGTGGGGCATCAGGTGCCTGGTGCTTGTGTATCCCAGAGGGAGGCCTTAACTCCACCCACTGCCTGGCACCTTTCAGTGTTGGGGAAGCTGTAATGCTACCTCCTCCAAAGAGAGGGCAGCCTCACAGGAAACAGCTCCAGGGCTCTCTACAGATGGGACTAGGTTTTGGGGTCAGTGAGAAGGCAGATCATCTTTTGCCCAGCCAGGAGTCACACCAAGGTGGGAGAGATTCAAGAAGGGAAAGGAAAGGAAGGCTCTTCATGGGGGCTTCTAGCATACCAGGCCAGGCTTGCATGCCTCAGCCTCACAGTCTCACACTCTACCAAACAGGCATCCAAATCTTCATTTCCAGATGAGAAAACGGGTTGTGGGAGGCTGTGAATCACTGACGGTCACCCAGCCAATGAGAGCTAAGATCTGAACCTGACTTATCTGACTCTAAGGCTGAACTCCAGAAAGAACTGTAGGGGTAGACAGTGGGTACCAGGATGAGGGTCCCACACACCCTTCCCACAGGGAATGGAGGGCTGATGGGTCTAGCTTGGCTCCTGAGGGTACCCAGTACTCACCACACACTCTGACGAGGGGAGAAGGATTTGTCCAACCTGAAACACAGCAAGTGGGCAGCCCATGAGGGTGTGCCTTCTCACTCTGCTCCACCCTGCCCCTGGTGGCCACAGGAGGTACTGAACTCCTCACTCTAAAGTCAGGTTAGGCACAGGCCAGTGGCTATGCAAGTGAAGCAGAAACAGGATTGGAGTCTGGGGTTCAGGGGAGCAGGGAACATGGGTATTGACAGGACTGGAGGTAGATGTCATCCTGAGACAAGTGGTGTAGAACAGTGTGACTGCAGTTCGGGATCAGAGCAAGGATGTGGAGTGTCGGCTGGCTGGGAAGTGTGTGGGGTATGTCCCATGCCCTCTCCAAGTCCCACAGTCTTGTCCCAGCTCATGGCTACCCAGGAAGCAATTGCTTGAGGACTTGGGAGGAGATCCTCCCCTGACCGCAACACACATTCCTGCCTCTCCCCAAGTCCATGGGCGCCCAGATTACATCCCCCATTCAATCCCTGTAGGCCCAGTCTGCAGGACAGTGGTGAGTAGGGACTCTGCCCCACTGCTCTTGGAGAGGGCACCTTTGAGCGGGGTACACTGGGGCTCTGCCGCCCTCTTTCTTGGGGGGTGCACAGGACTGGGCAGCTGTTGGGATGACAAAAAACCTCTTGCCTTCTGCCTGAGGCAAGCAGGAAATAGAGAAGACAACTGGGCTGTACTCCCTGGAGGGGCTCCTGGGGGGCATTGCAGGTTGTTCAGGGGTCAGCTAGGATACTTGGTGGGTCCTGTGGGGGTGCAGAAGAGCCAGGACTTGTCCAAGGTCACACAGCAGACCCTGGCCTCACCTCCTGGGCTACCCCTAAGGAACCAATGACCAGGAAGTTCTGCCCAACTCGGGTTCTTGGCTTCACTTGACAGCCAGCACCCCTCCCCCCGCAAAAAAAAAGAGGGAGAGTGGCCCTCTTGTGTCCTCCCAGCCTGTCCCCCAGGACTCCCCCGGCAGGGGGCTCCTCAGAGGTCCAGCAGCCAGAGAAGAAGGCACCTTGGACAGGATCCCTGCATCTCAAGGAGCACTGAGTATGCCCCCACAGCATCCCGCACCAGCCACCTGTGTGTTCCTCTGACAGACATGAGGCCTGGCTGGTAAAAGTCATGAAGCCCCTTGGCTGGCCCAGGAGAGGTCGCTGGCCCCAGGAGATGTAGCCTGTCTTCAGCTGGCAAGGATTCCCCTATCCTACCCCTGAGTTTGTGGTCAGGAGGGTGAGTCACCCTAAGATGGATGAGCAACCTGTGCCCCCAGCCCAGCCCAGCCTCCAGACCCAAGTGTATAAGGTCATAGGTTTCTACAGAGGTTGGGGGACCAGGGAAGGAGGGGGATGCTGACGGCTTCTAGGGACCAACTTCCAAAGCTTCACTGGAGGAGCTGGGGCCTGCCCCACCACACACACCTAGCTATGTGCCCACTGAGGTGCACACACACACACACACACACACACACACACACACACACCTTCCTCACACCCTCACACTACCTATGTGCCCACTGAGGTGCACACACACACACACACACACACACACACGGCCAGGCACCTTCCTCACACCCTCACACACACAGGTACAACAATCCACACTCAGTCACACGTGCACGTGGGCCAACAGTAGCCCACGGCTCGCAGCACCATGCACGACTTGGAGAAGCACTCCTGCACACCCCTGCACCCCACCCGCGGGGCCAGCGCATCCCGGCGCATCCCAGCGCACCCGGGCGCACCTACCCTCCGTAGGCACCGAAGGTGAAGCTGCGCTTCCGGCCGCTCATGGTGTCGCCGCCGCCGCCTGCGCCACGGCCCCTGCGCCGGGTCACCTTGGCAACGCTGCCCAGGCCGGGACCCGTCGGCCTCCTGAGGCCAGCGGCGCAGAAAGGGCCGCTTGTTCGCGCCGCCCTCGCCCTGCGCGGGGCTTTCCGAGCGCCACCTCCCACGCCACCATCCAGGCCCTGCTGGAGGCCGCCCGGCCCGATGCACGGAGCCACCCCCAATCCTCCCCAGGGAGAGTCACCGCGGGTCACAGCGGCCTGCACCGCGCGCTGGGACCTCAGGTTTCCCAGGATCAGCCTGTGGCCGGGGGATGAGGAGCTGAGTTCTTACCGGGATGGTGAACAGCCCATTAGCCTCGCGGCTGATGCCCGGTACCAGGCTCCAGAGCCCTGCGCCCCGGCCCAACGCTGGTCTGCAGGCCAGTCGAAGAATGGAGGGACTCTGCTGTTGCCCACCCTTGTCCCTCTCGCTCTTTCCGACTCAGAGAAGATCCCCATAACTCCCCCATACTACCCTGTGGAAATTCATCTAGCCCAGGATGTCGCATGCAAACCACCTTTGGAGATGAACAGGATTGAGTCCTACAGCCCCAGCCTGGTCCTTCATTCACTCAACAAACATACTAGCTCCCTCCTCTACACCGAGTGGGCCTTGAACCGGCCCAGTGCTCTGACCTCGTGGGGATGTGTCAGCTGACACCGGGTCACTAGCCTGTCCTCAGGACTCACTACCAACCCCCACCCCCTGCAACTGCTCACTCAGAGAGAGAGGGACTATCCCTCACCCCTGTCCAGGGAGGTCCCAGGAGCCTGGAGGGTCTCTATGGAGTTTTCTGTTTAGGCAAACAGGCAGTGAGGGATGGGGAAGGAGGACGGATCAAGGCACAGGGCTGAGCCACAAGAATTCCTCAGAAGCCTTTCTGGGACTAGGCTAGGTGATGGCTAGCTCCTTCAGGTCTTGGGAAGAGACTGAACGGGGAGGAGACTCCAGTTTGCCTCAGGGGTGGGCGGGGCTCACAGCAGTGACTTGACCCCTTTGCTCCTTATTCAGTAGTGCACAGCAGCCCCTGAGGAGGGCCCTGTACCTTTAGAGCTGGTTTGAGTTCACTGAGAACTCCTGCTTTCCTTTTCAACTTTGAAGGACTCTGGCCCACTTGGCAGGGTGCTCAGAGCCTGGATGAGGCCCCTGCTGCTCTGAGCCCTAGCTATAGGCTCCTGAAAGGAGTCATTACTCCAGAGTGGTGTGAGAAACCCACTCTGCACAGGGCAGTCGGATGGTGTGGGGGGGGGGCAGACTCAGAGAGGTCACTCACAGAAGAGAGAACAAGTCACACTCTTTCTTTCTCCCTTCCTCCTCTTTCTTCCTTCTGTGGGACAACAGGGCTTCCCAGGTAGGAATAGGATAGGCAAAGGGGCCTGGCCATGGGGGGCCTACCCAGGACCTGGCTGACCAGGACTCCCAGTCCCATCTAGGCTGCAGACCCCCAGGAGTATGAAACTTGGCTTCACCAGTCCCACTGAGTCTGCATGCCCAGTTGGCACAGTGGCCAAGGAAACTCCAACATGCCAAGTTTCCCAGCTGGGCCTAGCCCAAGGAGCGCCCTCCCCACCATGTTAGGACAGTGGGTCCTTGAGATGGGCCATGGGGGCTGCAGGGTTCCCACCAAGGACAAAGAACCCAGTGTGGGTGCTGGCCTCTCTGAGCATTGCCCAACTGCAGCTGCCTTGTTGGCAAGAAATGGGGGTGGGGCAGTCAGTGGGGTCGTGTTCTCTCAGCCACAGATGCAGCAGGAACTCTGTGGCCAGCTCTCCAGAGGAGCAGAAATGAAATGTGCCTTCTTAGCCTGCTAGACTACGAAGCACCCTCAAGAATCTACATTCTACATCACAGCACAGGCACTGAAGACAAATAGCCAAAGGCAAGGACGGGGAGGCTTGCACGTACATTTCCATCCTGTGAGCCTCCCAGGGCTCCAAGCCCAGCTCTCCCAACTGTCAGCTGTGTGGTGAAGGGCAAGGTGCTTAAGCTCTGTGCCTCAGTTTCTTCATCTGCAAAGTGGGATGAGTGATGAAGGTCATGGTCACTCAAAGGGTTTGACTGCAGATTAACTAAACTGTTAACTATAAAGTGCTGGGAATCGTGCCTGGTGCTTAACGTGGTTTTGGTGAGTAAAACCTTCACTTCAGCATCAATTGTAGGAAATCTAACCAGAGTTTACCATTGTACAAGGACGACAAAGATTCACTAGCAAACAAACTAACTGGCCATCCAGAGGGAGATGAATAAATAAATGCTGTTCCATTCCATTTATACCATGCAAAGCCAGGCAGCTGTAAGAAAGAACGGTCTGTGTGAGTTTGTAGAACAGTCTCCAAGACAGACAGATAGATAAGCCCAGAGGCAGCATGACAAGGGACCCGTCCCAGCGCCAGCTCTGAAGACTTCAGCCTCCATAGCCCACTGGGACTTGGAGCTCACTACCGCCAGAGTGGATGTTTTAGGGCTGGCATTGGGAAACCCCTGATGTCCTTGGGGGTGTGACAGAGTCCCTTTTTCTTTGCCTCTCATCTAGAAAAGGGAGCCACAGGATGGAGATGAAGCTCAGTCAGTAGAGTACTTGCCTAGCATGCATGAAGCCCTGCGTTCGATCCCCAGCACAGAAGAAAACCAAGTATGCTGGTATACACCTTGAATCCCAGCACTAGGGAAATGGCGACAGGAGAATCAGAAGTTCCAGGTCATCCTCAACTACATGGGCACTATCTCAAGAAGAAACAAGAGGGCTTGTGAGGGGCTGGAGAGATGGCTCAGCAGTTAGGAGCACTGGCTGCTCTTGCAGAGGACCTGGGTTTAATTCCCAGCACCTACATGGCAGCTAACAACCATCCGTAACTCCAGTTCCAGGGGATCTAATGCCCTTTTCTGACCTCTGTGGGCATTGTATGACACCAGTATACCTACCTACATGTAGGCAATACACTCATACACATAAAATTTAAAAATAATTTTTAAAAATTTAAAAAAGAGGGCTCATGATATGGCTGAGCAGAGGTACCTGACACCAAGCCTGACAGCCTGAGTTCGAACCCCAGAACCCACATGGTGAGAGAGAGAACCAGCTACTACAAATAGTCCTCTGATCTTCACGTGGGCACCATGGCATGCGCACACCCGTACTCACATACATCATACATACATACATACAATACATACATACATAAATAGATACATAAA